GAAATCATCCTCCCAGGGGGGATGACCACACTGCAATTCCTTCTTCTCTTTTCACCCCTTGGGATTTGGGGCATACACACACGTGTGCCCAGTATGTTTGAAGCCTCTGGGTCTGGGACTTAAACTACAGTTGGCCATGTGGGAATCCAGCAATGTAATCATTACACCATCTGTAGTTCCCAAAACACTCCGGTTTTTGTTTGTTTTTGGAGAGGTTTTTGCTATAGGGCGCATGCGCTCATCAGAAAGAAAGCGAGGAATCAACCCCCCACCCCACCCCACCCCCAGGAAGGATGACCACGCTGCAATCCCTTCTCCTCTTCTTTTCTTTTCTCGGGATCTTGGGCACACATCTCTATGTGCCCGGCGTGAGTTTAAGCCACCGGGTCCAGGACTTGAACTGCGGTTGACTACATGGGAGTCCAGCGACATTGCCATTACGCTAACTGCTGGTCTCACACTCTGGTTTTTTTGAACAAGAACTCTTCTCACATTTCTTTAGTTGTCAGTAGGCTGTGAAAATAAATACATAGAGCAGGGAGAAAGATACATTCTTTCCCTTGTGAAATTTTAACTATTAAACAAACAAAATTATGTGCCTTTTCTGGGCTGTACACTTTTTTCCTTTTGGACTTATAAGCTATGTTTTAAAGAAAAAATAGTGAAGAAATATTAGAGGTGTTCTGTATTTTTAAAATTCTTCTGTTTAATGGACCATGTCTTGGCTTTCCTGAAAGGGAAGCTAGGACATAACATTAGAGCTTAAAGTAGAAGAATGAGTGTCTAGTAAAATTAGCAGAAATGTAAACAGTATTCAAGAAGGATAGGTTATTGAAAAATTAAGGTTTTGTTTTACAAAATAAAAGGTCTTCCTGTAATATGTTCTAAAATGGACTTTTCTGATGAAAATAAAAATATATTGTCTATTTTCTAGAATTAAGATTGATTTAACGTATTAGTTACCAAATGTTACTGTCTTTTCATTAGTGATACTTTGGCTCTGGAAATCACAGCTCAAATGAGATACTTAAGAGATGAAAAATAGACTTTTAGAAATTAGACATAGAGGGAGACCCCACTCTCCTGAAAGTTTATTGTTCACCACTCACATCAGTGCTTGAGGAACCTGAGCTTAGGCTGGCATGCATGCCCTTTCACTCTTGCCCTTGCAGTTCTGTTCACATGGACAGTTTTGCTCCACTGAACCACAGCAGACAGTACTATTTGAAAAGGTACAGCTGTTTGACCTAAACAGCTTCTTGACTTTGTACTCTGTAGTTTTGTAAAATGCCTATTTGAGTAACAAGTTTTTAAATTGGTTAGTGGCAGTCATTTCCCTTATACTATTAATATTTTGTCTACCAAGTACTCCTTTGTCGTCTCATATGAAGTGTTTTAAGGAGAAATGTGACACATTGGGGCCGGGGCATAGTGGTTAGGGCACTCCCACACGGGAGACCATGGTTTGAGTCCCAGACCCGGCAGCTTGAAAATCATGCCGGGCACGCATGTGTGTGTGCCTGAAATCCCAAGATGAGAATGGAGAAGGGGTCGCACTGTGGCTGTCACACATGGGGGGTGATTTCTCACTTCCCCTCTTACTGTCTGTCTCTAGGGAGTGCACGTACCCTATGGCAAAAGCCTAAAAATATATTTTTTTTAAAAAAGACAGTGTGGGGAACCAGCAGTTAGCGTAATGGCTATGTCGCTGGACACCCACGTAGTCGACCGCGGTTCGTGTCCTGGACCCAGTGGCTTAAAACTCACGCCGGGCGCGTGTGTGTGCGTGCCCAAGATCCCGAGAGGAGAATGGAGGAGAAGGGATTGCTGCGTGACCATCCCCCCTGGGGGGTGATTTCTCGCTTTCTGTCTCTATGTCTCTCTCTGTCTGTCTGGCGAGCGCACGCGCCCTACAGTGAAAATCTCTCCAAAAAAAAAAAAAAGACAGTGTGATACTTGTAAAGGATAGCACTTCTGATACTAGTACTTTTGATACAGGTTTAGTGGGCAGTTTGAAAATAGGAAAGAGGAAAAGAAGAAATGGTAGGGGAGATCAAATGAGTAGAGGGGATATAAGAGCAAAAGCTTTCAGTTACTACATGTAGTCCTTAAGGAGGACTAGGCCTGTGATAAAAAGTGATTAGGACCAGCAGTTAGCGTAATGGCTATGTCGCTGGGCTCCCATGGAGTGAGCTGCAGTTTGAGTCCCGAATCCAGTGGCTTAAACTCACACTGGGCACCTCCGCGTGCATGCCCACAATCCCGAGAGGAGAATGGAGGAGAAGGGATTGTGGCGTGCCCATCCCCCCTGGGGGATGATTTCTCGCTTTCTGTCTCTGTCTCTCTCTTTCTGGCGAGCACGCGCGCCTTATAGCAAAAATCTCTCCAAAAAAAAAAAAAAAAAGGGTTTGTTCTCCTTTCATATTCATGGAACTGAGAAAATATGTATAATTAAGAGAAAAAGTGCTTTCTACTTTTCAAGTGATTTGAAAACAGGAGATGTGACCTAATTAACATCACTTATAAATAAGCACGTTTTTCTTATGTTCTTACTCATCTCTTTATCACCTACTAAAGTTATCCCCAGTTAAAGGGAAAGGTCCAGAAAGTAACCAAGGGACCACAGACTAGTGAGTCTGACTTCTGTGCTAAGCAGCCTAAATGAGATTTCATTAATGTTTTGTGTCATGGGTTATTTAAACCAGCATAATATATTCTGGGAAGTATAGTAAAAAGAAATAATGCTTGGTAGGTATACTCTTTTAAAAATAAAAAGAATTTATTTTTACATTTATTATTATTGTTACTCAATTTGACCAGAGAGAAACAGAGAGAGGGGAGAGCGAGAAAGCAAGCCACCAGGGCGAGAACTTGAACCCTGGTCGGCCATGCGGGAGTCTGGCACCTTAACCACCATGCCACATCCTGGCCCCAACAGGTATACTGTTTTCAGCAATGTATCTACACACTAAACAGTATTTTTTTTTTTGTTTAATTTTTTGTTGTTTGATTTCATTTGTCATTGTTCTTTGTGCTTTGCTAATATTAACTCGTTTAATCCTGTCAACGTTCTCATGCCAATGAGGAACCTGTGGTGCATAGTAGAGCTAGTGACTCAGCTTGGGATTGAACCCCAGACAACGGTAGCACAAATTTTGGTGACTCAACTTTGTAAATGATATGTAGTTCATAGAAATAGCATATAAAATGGGTTCAATTTTCATCACCTGGCCTTTTTAGCAAAGCCTCTTCTTTCTTGAGTTTTACCTTAATTGATTGGCCTCCATCATCACATAGTTTTTGTTTTATTCATGCTCCCTAAGAAAAGCTTCTGGATGCTGCCTTGAGGATTTGTTTTATTTGAGAAGCTTTGCCTGTTTCCTTTTCTTTGCATGGCATCTTGAGTATTGTGTTGGAGAAGTCTGTGCAACCTAATACTGGCTTTGATTTGCTTTTATATCTAATAAGGTATCTTTCCTTATCCTTGAAATTAGCAGCTTACCACTAAGGAGTTGGACTATTTAATTCTGTACTTTATTTTCTTGATAACCATGTTGTCATTAAATTTGTATTTTTTCATTTTCTTGGAATTTCTTTATAACTTTGAATATACATTTTCTTTTTTATTAGTTTAATTGTTTACTTTAGGGATATTAGTCATCCTTTTGTTAATGTCTGAATCAGAAACTCTTTTCTTCTCATTTTTATTGTGATAATATCTTATTGAGTTCTTATTTTGCTGAAAGTTCCTTTTTTTCCCCACTATTCTATTGTTTGTTTTAATTTATCTTGCCGTATTATAGGTAGAGTTTTTCTAAAGTGCTTTTTCTGAGGGGTAGGACAAGGAATGGGTACAGCCTAAACTAAACATTATAAAAACATTTATATTGGGTCATCAGAAAAGTCATGATGCATTGTTGCATAGAAAATGGAAAAAATACTCCGTGAGTTTTCTGACAACCCAGTAAATAATTTGGAAGGGAATATATACACCGAAGTTTGGTGTTTGTTTTGTGCTAGAGGGCATGTGCACTCACCAGAGGGAGAGGAGAAAGCATCTCCATGGGTGGACATGCCACAATTCCTTCTCTTCCATTTCTCCCACCTTTGGGGGTTTGGGTCATGCACACACATGGTACCTGATATGTTTCTCAAACCACCATATCTAGGACCTGAACTGTGTACTTGGCTGCCTTAAGCATAGAGCCAGCCCAGAAGTTTCTAACTTATATTAAGACATTTTGAGTTATAAAATGCTGAGCTATTGCTGACCCTGGAAAATCTTGACAGAGTAGAAATATACTGGAACGTGACAAGTTTATGTGAGTATTTGTGCTGGATACTTTGAATTTAAGAAATCATTTGTGCTATATTTGTTTTGCCATCTTTGACAGATATTGTACAGTAAATAAGCAAGATCAGTAGTGAAATACAGGTCTAAAGCACATTTAAAATATAGGTATAATTGGCCCTCTTTATCCTCGGGTTTCGCAACGGTGCAATTGTGGACCAGAAATACTGGGAGGGGGAAAACCCACCAAAAAAAAAAGTACAACAATAAAAAATAATACAAATTTGACAAATACAATTGAACTATTTACATAGTATTAATGTTGTATTAGGTAGTGTAAGTAATATACAGATGATTTAAAATGTACAGGAGGATGTACTTAGGCAAATACTATATGATTTTTTAATCAGAGATTTTTGGTATTCGTGGGGGTTTCTAGAACAACTCCTGTGCATACCATGGGATGACTGACTGTGTATGGAAACATCAAATGAACAGACTGTAAGAAAGCAAGTTTTGCCTGTAAGAGCATTTGTTTGCTGGGCATCTCACTTTCTTAGTATACTTGTAGGTACCACCAGTAGATTTTTTTCGTTATTTGAAACAAAACATTAATGTCTTTAAAACAAAACTGTCATCATTAGTGTATGTGTCATCTTTAAAAGCCTTAGGCTTTTAAATATAAATTTTTATTTTTTCCCCATTACAGTGTTCAAAATAATGTTTCAACTCAGAATAATGGCCTCCAACAGGTAAGACGATATTAAATTTCTAAAACACGGGAACACTGTAGTTATTTATGGTCAAAGGTAATGTTACTAATTGGATTTTTATGATGGTGTAACTTTGTGCAAGTTTTATGTATTTTCTTTTCTTATCCCTTAAGTGGATCACTAATGCATGAATCCCTGTAATTTTATTCTCTAAGGTGTTGTAAGTAGAATGGGTGTTCCATAAAACATTTCTGTCCCTATAAATCCAGGAAAATGAATGAAATATTAATACCCAGTTACATATTTCTCAGGTAGTATATAATATTTAAGAATTTGTCTATTCACTATGTAGATGGTATCATATTTTAGTATCATATTTGTTGAAGAGATCTTTTGTCTTGGTAAAATAGATGATTTTTATAATTTTTGTCTAAAGGCTTGGGATGTTCGACCCACTCAGCCTGTGATTTCTTCCACAACCTCTGGGCCTGTGCTGGTGGAGATAGAGAATCTCCCGCGGAGTCAGCATGAAACAGACCAGCATGACAGGAAATGGTTTGTTAACTACCTCAAGCAAAATACTGTTACTTGCTTAATTGTATCTTAAATTGTAAGCCATGATCTCCAAACACTTTAAATACGATTCGAAGCAAATTATTCATATTCGTGAGTTAAAATGAAACATTGAGTAGTATATTAGGATAGGGAAAATAAGAGATGTAGATAAAGAAGGGAACGCAGCTGTCTAGATGAAGAACATCAAACAGTTGTACTTATTCTAGTTAGCCTGATCTGGGGGTGCTGACTGGTTCCCTGTTGAAGACGACTTCCTTGCTGATCAGGAGAAAATGTTTCCAGATCTGCAAGGGAAATGTTAATGCTACACAGCATGATGCTACTACTTTAATTGTGTTTTCTTCATAAAGACTGGCAATAAAACCAAACGAGAAATATGATTTAAAAAGTCCAATAAAACAAAGCAAGAAATACTTCATTTTTTGGAGATGGAAAGATAATCTGATGACAAAATTTTCATTTATTTAGGTTTCCAGAATGTTTTTCTAGATGAATAGTAAACGCACAAATATGGATACTTTGCCACCTTATTGGGTTAATCAGTTTAGTTCATCCTGTCCTAAATAACTGTATATGGCTTGGGAGGTGCTTTGGGGAATTATTTGACTGGGTGGCTACATTGGGTATGTCGTCTGTTCAAGTTTTGTGTCTGTTTATGAAAGGAACTTAGATAATTCATAATATTCTTCTCTTTTTCTCTTACTCTTAGTTTATTTAGTACCTGAAATCTATTAAGTTTCTGTGGTGATCTCAAGGTTTTGGTCAGCTTTCTGTGCAACCAGTTCTTCCTTTATGGTGGTGGGTCAGCAGTGGTTGGTGATTATTTTCAATCTTTGCTGTGTGATATTTTTTCACTGTTTCTTTTCGGGGTGCTGGGGCTTAACTAACTACAAGGTGCTTTGCTCGTAATGGTTGGGCAAACTATTACTTCAGTTCCAAATAACCTGTGATTAGTTTATAAAATAAAGGGGATTTTGCCCCCTCCATTTTTTTCCCCTACTTGGGAATACTTGGTGTGTGTGTGTGTGGGGGGGGAGGGTACACACTTAGAAGTGCAAAAAGTGAGGCTTCAAAATGTCAAATTTTATTCTTTAGTTTTTTAAGCTACTAAGAAGTTTCTTGAAATTCTTACAGAAAACACAACTCCAGTAAACAGCCATGTTTTCTCTCTTCATTGTTGATATAAATTCCTATTGGCAAGGAAAAACAGTATTTGAGAATTTAATCATAAATACCTATCTTGGGCAGTTCTGTGGCCTAGTTCAGTCCCAGATTTAGTAGCTTGAGAACACACTGGGCCATGTGTGTGTTGTGTGCCCAAATCCTGAAAGGAGGGAGAGACGTAAGAGAATGGGTTGTAGCTTACCATTCCTTGTGGGGGGTGCTTTCTTCTCTCCCTCTCCGTCTCTCTCTGGTGAGCACATAGGCCTTCTGGTCAGAAAACAAAAACAAAAAGCTAAATATATGCTTGCTTTTCTATTTATATTGAATGAGAATCTGATTAGTTTCCATCTTGTGTTATGAATCTTTATGTAGTTTTTCCATTTTATTGGGTGTAAATTTAAATTTGTTTGATTTGATAAGCACTGCTCAGTTTCTTTGTAGCTTTTAGAAAAAAGAGAAAGTATTGAGTTTTTCGGGAAATATTGAAGTTTTTCAGGAAGAAATTTGGAGCGGGGTGTTCTCCTTTCTTTATGTGATTGAGATCGCCTTTGCTGTGATGAAGTAAGACAGTGATCCTCAAAGTCTAAGAGCCTCAGTTTATGTCAAAAGGGCATGGAACTGACTAGAGAACTGACATGTTTTATAGCTAATGGATTCTCCAGCCTTGGTTTGAAATGCATTCTATATTTCATTCTTTGTTTCTGCATGCTTTCTTTGATTATTACTAATACTTTGAAAAGAACATAAAACAGTCCTCCTTTAGAAGATAATAAATTAATAAAATTTGGAAATGTTCCATAGGTTTGATTCTGGCAGATATCTTTTAACAAATTTAATCTAAAACTATTCCTTATTCAAATCTTTAGCATTTTGGTAATAACTTTTTATTTATTTCTTAATTTTTTTGGCAATAACTTTAAATGATACCTTATTGGGTGAATGATTTGGTGTATCAGTAACTTAGAATTAATAAGTAGTTATAAGTAGCTTTTGAGAACCAATTCATGTGTTTTAAATCCATATATAATTTATAAACAAAAACAAAATAGGATAGCAATAAAATGTTGCATCTTATTTAATTTTCTAAATTTTTAAAGATCCTAAATCTAAAGTGATGAGTGTTGTGGGTCTAATATAGAAAATGTTTTTCAGTTGAAGGGACTAAGATAGTTTCATTATTAAAACAAAAACAAAAAACTTCAATGTTTGTTCTGAAAACCTTTTAGTTTCTTTTCAATTTTTCTAAAGAAAAAACAGTATATTAATGTTTGGGTTGAGTTAGAAGGGTAACAAACACTATATTTAAAAATCTATTTTCAGACATCTTTTATATTTGGGGTAATTATTTTTCCTGTGTAGTTATTTTCAATATGTGCTGCCCTTTTTGTCTTTTCACAAAACTTTGATTTCTTGAATCTTAGCAAATGTTTTCTTTCTATTGGAGGACTCTAATTAGTTCTATCTGGGATCTGCATGTATGCATGGTTCACTCTTTTCGGTTCTATAGCACTGTAACAAAAAGTACATAATTAGCTTATTACGCTATTTCTTGGAGTTGGCTTTAATTGCATCACATCTGTACCTGTTGCCTTTTTTAAAATTTTTTTTTTGGGGAGAGGTTTTTGCTATTTTGAGGTCCTATGGACATTGATTATATAAAGAACAGTGATTCTCTCCATTGGTAACTGAGAATATTTATGTAAAATTAGATGGCTTCTGGGTAGTTTTTTTTTGTTTGTTTTCTTCTTAGTACTATTTCTGAATTTTGTTTCCCGGATTTTATTTTTGTGAAATCACTTAATTTGGAGAATAATTTTCACAACTGCCCATTTCCATGATGTGCATTTGTCTTCATATAGAATTTTCCTTTCAAATATTGGAATTACATAGATAATAGATAATATTCTTGTTTCATGAGCGTCCCTTTGATTTTAGTGGCAACATCAGGGACAGATAGTGTCTCTCTCTCTCTCTCTGAATTTTCTCTAATTAATTCACTTAGCTGCATCTGATTACTTATGCCTATTTTCATATTGACTTTTTTCCATTACATGTAACTTTGGGGATTTTCCCCCTTTGTTATTCTTGAATGTTACCATTGCATGGAGTAGATGTTGGTCACTACTCATAGCAGTGATGCTTGCTAGCCACATTGCCTTGTCTCCTTTATTTCTTCTTACACATCCATTTCTTCCTATTTCTAGTGACTAACTATCCTCCCCTCCCACTCCCAACCATCCAGGCTCTCTGCTGCCAGTGACTGCTGCCAACGTGGTGGAAACCAGTGGAACACAAGGGCCTTGCCCCCACCCCAGACTGCACATAGAAACTACACTGACTTTGTCCATGAGCACAATGTGAAGAATACAGCAGTCCATCATGATGTTCATTTTCCTGGTCATGCAGCCATGACTGAGATATGAGTGTTAAGCCTCTTAGGCATTGGGACTTTTTGTCATGCAAGTTGATGGTGTACATTTTCTAGTATCTATAAAGAATCAATCACATTAAGAGTACTTGGGCGAATTTACTTTATACTGATTCACTAGTTACATAATCTGGTTCATAATTGAATTCTTCTATGAAAATAAAAAGAATACAAAGAAGCCATATGCTATCAGTGACAATAATAACAATTTTTTTGTTGTGGAAAAGAGTATGTATACTGTTGTGATTTTGGAAAGTTATGTTAGTGGTTTTAGTGTATTACTACAATACTTAGAATACTCTTGGAAGATTTGTGTTTGTGAACAAGTTGCCTGTTACCATGTCAAACACACCATCAAAATATGTTGAAGAATCAAACAGTAAAAACACACCTCAATCGCACAGTTGTGAAACCCAATTATAAAGAGGGCCAATTATACCTATATTTTAAATGTGCTTTAGACCTGTATTTCACTACTGATCTTGCTTGTTCACTGGACAATATCTGTCAAAGATGGCAAAACAAAGATAGCACAAACGATTTCTTAAATTCAAAGTATCCAGCACAAATACTCACATAAACTTACATGTCATGTTCTTGTGTGTGTGTGTGTGTGCGCGCGTGCGCGCGCACACACACACACACACACACACACACATATATATATATATAACTATCCCTTCTCCTTCACTCTCCCCTCGAGATATTGGGCACACATGCACATGCACCCAGCATGAATTTAAGCCACCGGGGTCCAGGACTCGAACCACGGTCAACTACATGGGAGTCAGCAACATGCCATTAAGCCAACTACTGGTCCCCCAAAAAACACATTTACTTTTTAATAACCACAAATATTTTAAGTTACCAAAAGTTCTAAAAATCACATTAATATTGTGATTCATGTAGAGAGAAAAATATTAATGGTTGTTTTTGAATGGTTTATTGTTTAATAATTGATTCATGTGGAGGATGAATCTGAGTGGTTATTTTTGAATGGTTTAGTGGTTAACCAATGGTTAACTGAATTGTTACCTTGCTACTGACTAGCTATACAAAATGACAAATGTATTTACTTTTATCTCTTTACTTTTTCATCTCATACCTGACATATTACCCTGATTTGCAATAGCCTCATAAACTAGCCTTGTAACAGTCTTGAAAATAAAAATTTAAAGCTAAAGCCATATCATTTTTAGATGGATTAGATATGTATTACCATTTTTGGTCATTTTTGGAATTTAGAATGTAATTATACAAGCTCTTTGGTTTAATTCATAGAGGCAAATTTGCTGGAAAGAGTACCTTTCTGATGGAAATGATGTAAGGGAAATATTTATTTTGACTTTTATAGTTTTTCCCCCCAAACTTTAGAAACATTTTCAGA